TTTTAAGCCTGCGTAACAAAAATTACATGCTGTGGCACACACTAGGTAGTTATCTAATTAATGTTACAGTCTCACTCAGCTACTAAATGAATCATCACTGTTAAAATAAATTTTTCTTTTTGGTCTGGACAATTCAAGAGGGACAGTTAATCTACAAGATGATAGAAAGAGAACAGAAACAGAACTAATGCATACAGCATTAGCTAGTAACCAATAATAACTTTCACACATATTGAGTGTAGTTCCTCAGCCAGCTTCCTCTCAGCCAAGCCGTATTTGTATCCCTTCTAAGCACTTGGCATTTAAGCCGGTTGTCACTTCATGCTCTGCACTGACTTCGTTAGGAACCTCTGAAATTATATTCTTGTATAAATATGTATTCCTCCCTCCCTCCCTCCCATCCTTTATTTTTAAACAGGGAAGCTCTTTTGAGAAAAAATAATGAAAGATTATAACCCAAAGCAAAGATATTAGGCTAATTTGCATGTTCCTATTCTAGTTTACCTGGGTAAACTAAGACCAGGCAGTGTTTCGTTCTGTTGTACATGGGGTCACTATGGATTCGGACTGACTTGACGGCACCTAACAACAACAATTCTAGTCTGTTAGAAAATATATTGAAATATCAGAATATATTGGCTTAAATAAACACATTATTTACAAATAATAAATTAGTTTCAACATCATTGCATAAATGTAGTTTCTCAACATTTGTTTGTAATAGAATTACCTAATATTTTTTTCCTCTAGTTCACAACGCTTGCACCTGGAAGCCTTCTTTTACATGAGTTTCAATAGTGTAGAAGCTAGTTTTAGCAGCACTGTTTATATCTTCCCAAGACCCCTTCCTTACTCTTCATCTGGAAACAGTCCCACTCTCCCAGCATGTACTCCGCACTGACTTAGCCTGGGCCAGGTACACTTCCATGTCTGTTTTTCCGCAGGGTGGCAGTACAGTGAAGCAGCTAAAAGGGTGGGGGTTCTAACTGCTTGACTCTGGTTACTTATTAGTTGTGGGACCTTAGACAGATTACTTAATCCCTCTGTATTCCAGTGTCCTAACAACCAAAATATGGGAAACAATAGTACGTTGTTGGTTGCTGTGAAGATTAAATAAAATATTGCATGTAAACACTTAGCTATACAGAGATGGGGAGAAGAGCAGAATGAAAGAAGAAAGAAACTTGTCATGTTCTAGGAATTGAGGGAAAACCAGTAGAAGAGTAAGGTAAGCAAAGAAGAAAGTTCGGGAATGAAATTAGACTGACTTCAGAAGCATTGTCCAAGTCATGTAGCATCTCATTGGCCATAATAAGCTTTTATTTTGTTGAAGTGTAAAGGGAATCCATTGAAGGGTTTTAAGCAGAGGAATGAAGTAATTCTGTTTACTTTTTAAGAAAATCACTTTTACTGGGTAGAGAACGTGTCCTGGACCAGAGCAGTAACAAAATGGAGAGAAGTGGATAAAATTTGCGGGTAGAATTGATAGGGGTTGATGGAAATAATGGAATCAATAACGATTGCTATGTTTCAGACTTGAGCAGCTAGGTAGATAGTGGGTCAGTTACTACAGTGGGGAAATATGGGGCCAGAGAGAGAGGGTTCAGAGAAAATCAAGAGTTTTGTTCTGGATATGGAAAAAGGTCACGAAGAATACACGCCGAACTTCTAACGTGGGACAGTTGTGGGATTGTGAGGGAGGGGGAGGGAGCAAAGGGAGAGACTTTAACTTTTACCCTCTACTTTCTATACTTCACTTTTATACATGGAGAATCATTTGTATAATTAAATATTTTTAAATAAGTATTTTAATGGAGAATTCTGATTTGTTTTCAAGGGTATACATTTTTATCAATTTCGTGTAGTTTCACTAAAAGTAGTAGACATTATTATAATATCCATTATCCAAACTTGGAGAACTTTTACTATGTATATATTTATTGAGAATTATATCTGCTTTAAGAAATAATTGACCTTTTCTCATTTTAGTAGTGAGTTATATACATACATTTTTTAAAAATTTTATGGTGCTTTAGGTGACAGTTTGCAGCCCATGTTTCTCATTCAAAAATTTATACACATATTGTTTTGTGACATTGATTGCAATTCCCACAATGTGACAGCACTTGCCTCCTTTCCACCCCAGGTTCCCTGTGTCCACTCATCCAGTTCCTATCCCTTCCTGCCTTCTCGTGTTGCTTTTGGACAGGAGTTGCCCATTTGGTCTTGTATATTTGATTGAACTAAGAAACACATTCCTCACATGTGTTATTATTTGTTTTATAGGTTTGTCTACTGTTTGTCTTATAAGTGGGCTTCAGGAGTGGTTTCAATTCTGAGTTAGCAGAGTATCCTGGGGCCATAGTCTCGGGGGTTCCTCCAGTCCCTGTCAGACCAGTTGAAGTCTGGTCTTTTTTCGTGAATTTGATTTTTGTTCTACATTTTTCTCCCACTCTGTCTGGGACTTTCTGTTGTGATCCCTGACAGAGCTGTTTGTAGTAGTAGCTGGGTACCATCTGGTTGTTCTGGGCTCAGGCTAGTGGAGGCTCTGGTTCATGTGATCCTTTAGCCCTTTGGGCTAATATTTTTCTTGTGTCTTTGGTTTTCTTCATTCTCCTTTGCTTCAGGCAGGATGGGACTAATAAATGTACCTTAGATGGCCACTCAAAAGCTTTAAAGACCCCAGACGCTGCTCACCAAAGTAGGATGTAGAACATTTTGTTCATGGACTATGTTATGCCTAGATGTCCACCGAGGCTATGGTCCCCAGCCCCAGCAACTTGGTCCCTAAAGGTGTTTGGATGTGTCTAGGAAACTTCTATGCTTTTGGTTTGGTCAAGTTTTGCGGACTTCCCCTGTATTGTGTGTTGTCCTTCCCTTAACCAAAGTTGACACTTACCTACTAGCTAGTTAGTAATTTCCCTCCCCACCCTCGTAGCCATCAAAGAGTTTTTTTTTTCCTGTGTGTAAACCTTTCTTAAGTTCTTATAATAGTGGTCTCATACAATGTTTGTCCTTTTGTGATGGACTTATTTCACTCAGCATAATGCCCTCTAGATTCCTCCCTGTTGTGAGATGTTTTGCAGACTGATCATTGTTCTTTATCGTTGCATAGTATTCTGTTGTGTGTATGTACCATACATTATCTGTTGATGGGTACTTAGGTTGTCTCCAGTTTTTTGCTGTTGTGAATAATGCTGCAGTCAGCATGGGTGTGCATATGTCCATTCTTGTGACGGCTCTTATTTCTCTCGGGTATATTCCTAGGAGTGGGATTGCTGGATTGTGTGATATTTCTATTTCTAGCTTTTGAAGGAATGGCCCTATTGTTTTCCAAAGTGGTTGTACCGTTTTACATTCCCACTAGCAGTATATTTGAGTTCCAGTCTCCCCTCAACCTCTCCAGCATTTGTTATTTTCTGTTTTTTTGATTTGTGCCAGTATCGTCGAGGTAAGATAGTGTCTCAGTTTAGTTTTGATTTGCATTCCTCCGGTGGCTAATGGTCACGAGCATTTCCTCATGTTTCTGTTAGCCACCTGAATGTCTTCTTTGGTGAAGTGTCTGTATGTATCCTTTGCCCATTTTTAAATTAGATTATTTGTCTTTATGTTGTTGAGATGTTGAAGTATTTTGTAGATTTTAGAGATTAGACCCTTGTTGGATATGTCGCAGCCAGAAATTTACTTTTAGGGTTTATTTTTAACTAAAATAAAATTCAAATGAATAACCTTAATGTGACATGATATTTTGTTGAAACTGTTTATGTTGTTGTGTACTTGAATGCTTTGTTTGTTGACAAAATTCATTTGATTTTGAGCATATGGGGCATCATTTGAATGTCATGTATCTTTCTTATTTTTTTCTTTATAGCAGTGAACACTTTTTTAACCACTGATTTATTTTAATAGTGCACCCTCAAATAAATCCAGAAAGTTAAAAAAAATACAATTTACAAAAGAATTCTTCTTTTCATGGTTACTGGCAAACTTATTGCCCATGAACTATTGCGAGGTGATACATTAAAAAACGGGATCAATGTGAAACAGCCACCATGTTGTGACTACGGTACTAATTGCTCTGGCACAAGTTCTTTTGCATTCCACATGCCTATGAGCCAATTCTTCAGTGCTCTTACTGCTACTGCAGAGTCTTTGTTCACACAATGCACTGTGATATCGTTAGGCCTTCATTAAGCACCATTGAAATGATAAGCACAAACACAAATGCAAGTGCTAAAAACACGTTCCATAGTAAAGTGACTATTCAGATATTTTCTAGACTCAGCAACATTGCTCAGTAGAACTTTCTGTGATCATGGAAATACTCTGTTTCTACACTGTTGAGTACAGCAGCTGCTAGCCATGTGTAACTATTGAGCACTTGAAGTATGGCAGATATGACTGAGGAACTGAATTTTGAATATTATTTAATTTTAATTAAGTTAAGTTTAAATAGCCATGAGTGGCTACTGGCTACCTTATGAGGCAGCACAGATCTCGAACAGTGTTTCTCAAACTCTAATGCATATGAATCATCTGGAGAATCTTGTTAAAATGCAGATTCTAATTCAGTAAGTCAGGGCTGAGTTTGGGATTCTTCATTTCTAATCAGCTCCAAGATGATGCTGGTATTTCTGGTCTGGGGATCATCCTTTGAGAAGCAAATCACTAAAATATGCACATATCCATTTATTTTAGATTATTCACCTAAAAGGAAGAACCGAATTTAAAAATTATCATGGAACTCTAGAGTTTCCAGTGGTCCTCACACCGCAGTTGGAGAATCGCTGTCCCAGTGTGTTACTGCTGTAGCATACTATCGTAGCAGGCAAGCAGGCAGACAGAAGGTTTAGGGCGCTTCTCTAAGGGCTTACCTGGATGTGTGTGGGAAGTCGAACCGTTTCTCATGTGTCTCATACAAGGTTAAAAAGAGTCTTCTGGTAAAGACACTTACTTCAACTTTCCCATTTTTTTTAAAGAAAAAATAATCTTTCTTACAGATTTTGCGTGTGAAACTATGTGGAAATCTGAAATATTATCTCTCACCCCTTTATAGTACGGTGGTGCCACCTGATGGTAAGCTTTCTTATCACTTCTTTGATTCACGTGCTAATTTATTTCCATTTTTCCAAATTAAATGATAGCTGTGAGTTTTGAGCAAAACAGACTAACCACCCTCTGCACCTCCAGTCTGTGTGTAGTCCTTCCCTTTTCTGTGCCCGCAAAATTCTGATGTCTTTCGGAAGACTCCTGCCCCAGCAGTCTCCGGAGATAGAGAAGAACTAGTAACAGTTTCTGCCCTCAAGGGCTTAACTGTTTACCTGTGAAGACTCTAAATAGTTACAGTTCAGTGTGACACATACGTAAAACGTTACAGATTGATAGAGAATATGTAACCTGTAGTGTAAGGGAATATGTAACCTGTAGTATACAGAAGGCATATACAAGCAGTACAAATTATAATAAGAATAAAGAGGTTTATGAATTCCGTGTTTAGATACTCCTTTTAGAATTCTTAGAATTTAAAGTAAATTTTAGTCATCCCTATATTACTTTTTTCTTTTTTTAACAGAAATAACAGTTAATTATAGATACGGACTTCCTTTGATAACACTTCCTTTGCCATCCAGAAGAGAGCGTTGTCAATTTGTAGTCAAACCAATGTTGTCAACAGTTGGTTCATTCCTTCAGGAAATACAGAATGAAGATAAAGGTGTCAACACTGTCGCCGTCTTCACAGCAGGTATATATGTGTGTATATATGTATATGCGTGCTATATGGATATTTTTTACAAAGGAATTTCAACCTTTGTTTTAGTTCTTTACATACTTTTAATTCATTATATATTAAATGGTTGCCCTTTACTGAGTTCTTCATTTTATACATCAGTAATATAAAACAAAAGCTCTATTGAATAAAAAAACATGAAATAAGTTTAATGCAAGTTTCAGTTACTTATTTCATAAATTTTGCCTGAAATTTTTTTCTCTGAGATACTTTTTATGGCACAAGCATTAGTGTATAATTTTCAGCAAAATTTGAATAATTGGAAAATGAAATGCAATTTCAATTACTAAAATAGCCAGTGCCTAAATAAAATACACAGATAGCTCATTAATCTTTGTTATAAAGGAATTACAGTCTAGAATGCTTTTTGATGGAATTAGTTCTTAGGAAGAATGTACCTATTTTTATATTTTTTAATACCAGCAGGGGTGGCTAATCAGTTAGACTTTTTAAATTGAGGATATATATTTTATGTTCTAGTGATCTGAAATGGTCTTAGCCTAACTACTCCTAAAATGGAATAAAGAATTCTTTACCCCAGTCCAACATACAGAGTATATAAATATAGATAAACGAATAACTTTGTATTGTTATTTTATTGTAGTATTATATGCTTGAATAAACTTTTTAAAAAGGAATGATTATTGTTGCTGTTTTGAAAGAAATAAACATTCTTTTTTCCTATCCAAGTTCAGAACCAGTTAGAGGGTAGAGACAGAAGTTGGGAAAATGGAAATTAAAGAGTTTATTCATTCAACACGTATTTATTGAACACCTAATATATGCCAGAAGCTAGGGATAGAGCAAAGAACAAGAGATAAAAATCCCTGCCCTCATGGAGCGTACATTTTAGGAGGAGAAAGAAACAAGATAAAGAAGTAAAATATATGTTATGTTAGATAAGAGTGTTATGGAGAAAATTAAGGCAGAGAAGGGGAATGGGAGTGTGTGGTGGTGGGGTGCTTGCTGAGGTTACATTGAGCGAAGATCTGGGGGAGAAGAGGGATCGAGCCATGTAGATGGGAAGAACTCTCCAGGCAGAGGCTCTGAAGTGGAAGCCAAGTATAATGTGACTGGTAAGGGGGGCTAGGTGGAAGGTGGAGGAGTTGGAGAGGTGAGGAGGGGCAGATTATGTATAAAGCCTTTAACTGGAAGGGGAGCCCTTTTCCTGATGAAACCTGGATCAGAGAATAAGGTTTTAGCCCTGTGGCCACAATGGGCTTCCTAATACTCCGTCCCTGAATGAGATATTCTCCTAGTTACAGGAGCACTGAATGCCCATGGGTCTTAACCATAGGGGCAGGGCCTGCCCTCCTGAGCTTCTAAGAGCAGGCAGGTGCAAACTCAGTACTTGCCTTGTAGTATATGCTCAAAAAATATCTGTTAAATGAGTAAATTAAAACAATGATTGATGCTTACAACTGCTTTTTTCTGAAAATAATTGAGTAGCTTTGAAGCATAAAGGAACCCTGGTGGTACAATGGTTAAGTGCTCAGCTGCTAACCGGAAAGGTCAGTGGTTCAAACCCACTAGTCACTCCGCGGGAGAAAGATGTGGCAGTCTCCTTCCGATAACATAGCCTTGGAAACCCTCTGGGGCAGTTGTACTCTGTCCTATAGGATCTCTGTGAGTCAGAATCAACTTGACAGCAACGGGCTTGGTTTTTGGTTTTGAAGCATAAAGCAGAGATTAGAAGTCTTAGAGAAAAGGGGCTCCATGGGCTAAGTGAAAAAACTTTATTGAGATTTAAATTGATACTTGTCCAAGAACAAAAGGAAAATTCAACACTGTATCTATCATTAGCTCCTTAAAAGTGTTCAGAGGTTTTACTGTTCATATGTTAGTACAAAGAAGAATGTACTAATGTCATATTTCAACTGAGAAATCATATTCAGATGATTCCTTTGTGTAGTAGTATTTCAAGAAGCTGGTTTGAAGTCATTTAAGTGTAAATTTTTAAATGACACTTGCAAAGTCAGATAAAACGGTTGGTGTGTGGCTGATTAAAAAAAAAAAAAAAAGGCTCTGTGGGTGGAATTTGCCTGCATTTAATTTGTGCTGGAAAAGAGCATTCTAAGCTTGTCACAGTTTTGCCCATTGTGTGGGTTGAATTATTTGGCAATTCTAGGGAAAATGATCTCACCTCCAACTGATGAAAAGGAACCCAAACAGCCAAATTCTAGGTGCAGACTTGACTTGCTGCCTTCTGGAACAAAAGAGCTCCAGAGAGACAGGAGGCAGGCAGTCAGGTTCTTTCTGCATTTTACTAGCGGTGCTTCTCTGTCATCATGCATATTGATGTCATTGAAATAGCTCTGGCTGAAAGTAGCCAAGCAAAGGCCAGGCCGGGAGAAAATATACATCCAGCATTTTCCTGAACTTTATTTCACATTATTATATGTGGACTGTTCTGAAGGAAAAATGGTAGAAAAACAAAACCCCTACCGAGCTCCAATTTTTTATTATTCAACGAGTTTGCTTTCTTAACACCTGAGTTACATTAAAGTATAGTAACAAGAACTAGGCTACATGTAAGATACAATTTTCTAAAAGATTTCTTTTTCCTGAAATGCTCCTTGGATATATGAAATTACTGTTACAATATCTCCTGCTTCTCCCCAGCTCCACAAAATAAACCACACAAACACAAATTTATTTCTTGGGCTTAATTATTTTTACTCCTACCCCTGCCACCCCCACACCCTTGCATTTTTTTCTCTCTTCTTTCCCAAGTGAGAAAAGGAGGTGAGTCGGTGTGGTGGTAAGTTTGTGGTGCTGTTTAGCTACCAAGTTTTTAACTAACACACTCAGTGCCCTCTAGTAATTAAAGATAAGAGAAAGAAAGAGTTTTTAAAATGTTACTCCCTGTGTGCCTACATGTATCAGTCAGGGGCTTGGTTGCAAGCAACAGAAATGGACTCTGGCTAAGTAGAGAAGGGACATGTCGTCAGCTGTCAGATTGGAAGAGACAGAAAGCTAGGCTCATAAGAAGGCAGGAGTAATTCAGAGAGAAATAAATGAGAACAGCGCTTATCTCAGGCTTCTGAGCATGTGCGAAGGCGTGTTCATTTGCTGTCCCCAGAGAAGATCAACACACTAAGATCCAGTGTATCCGGATGAGGACAAACAGCCACACCATCGCCACAAATAGCACTGGTTGATAAGACACTCCTGTTTTCAAGACCAAGAAAACTAAATAACACAAATCGTTTCAGTTATATATGAATGCTCTAAAAAGTGAGAAAATAAGTTTTTCCCCTAAAGCCTCCATTTACGTGGAATTTGGGTTTGTGCGCTGTTGTTTCCAAAAGAGAGAAAAGGTGAAACACCAGAAACCACATTTTGTGTCTAGAAGTAGATGGAAGATGCATCAGCTGAACGAATAAATTCTAATGTTACACGTTATTTCTGTAATTAATAGACTAGCACAGGTTATAAATAAAAGCAATGTGCTAATTCTATATCAGTCAGTGTCATCAGAAGGTAAATCTTAGTGATGCTTTTGTTTAACTATGTGATATTAATGCAAGCACTTCGTATCTTTATAGTTTTCAGTCCAGCATTCAAATGAACACTTATTTCTTCTGGTAGGATTGGGTAGTATTTGGAAATTTCCCAGACACTGAATTTTTTTTTTTTTACCAATATTACCCAGCCTCATTAGGAGACATCAGGGCATCCTGGTAGGATCAGCAAGGGGGCCCTAACACAGGAGGTGGTATGGCCATGGTGTCTTCTTTGTTCCTGTACACCTGAAAGTCCACTCCCCCACTGAGAGACACTGGGTTGTCAGGCCTGGGGAAACCCCTTCTACTCTCCAAGGTAGCACCAGGAGACAGTAGTGCGAACCTCAGTGGCACGAGATAAAGTAAAACTGAAAAGGCTCTGAAAATTAAACTATCATTGAAATAAAAGCCCACAAAAATAAGCTAAAACCTGCATACTAAACCTAAATAGGGTGAATGCTTGTTAAAATAAAAGATTTAAATAGAACCCAGAGTCTTTAATATGGTAGACCAGATGTCCAATAGGACCCAGAGCCTTTAACATGGTAGACCAGATGTCCAATATACAACAGACGATCACCCATCGCAGCCTGAATCGGGAAAATCACAACTCGCCTGAACAAAGGTGATCAAGTGACACTAACGCTGAAATGAACCAGATGTTGCAGTTCTCTGACAAGGATTTTAAGATAGCCATCAAAAAATATTTTAACAATTAAAAATTCTCTTGAAACAAGAAAAATATTGAAAATTTCAGAAAAGTTATAAAAAATGAATAGAAATTATAGAATTAAAAACAAAAAGACTTTGCTGGACGGACTCAATAGTAAAATGAATATGATAGAGGATAGAATCAGTGTGTGAATTCTGTATGATTTCTTGGAATATTTCTGTAAAGACATGCCAGAAAGGCTTGATAATGGTTACTTTTGAGAAGTGACATGAGGTCTAGAGTGGGACAGGACTCACTGTTTATTGACAATATTTTTGTATTGTTCAGCTTTTTTTAAAACCAAATGTATGCCTTCATTTTATAACAAAAAATAAGAATGAAGACCTCTACCGGGCTCTGGGGGCCATGGTCTCGGGGAACATCTAGCTCAATTGGCATGACACTACTTATAAAGGTAATGCTCTACATTCTACCTTGGTGAGTAGTGTCTGGGGTCTTA